TGCACTTTTACTTTCGCCCTCTGGGGGGAGCCTCGCTGGAAAATCAACACCGGTTGCATAGTGTACCTTTAATTACCACATTAATTTATTAATCCATACTTTAGATGTAGGCATTTAACATGTAAGACTAAAGCCAAGGCTGTGATTTGGTTCAAATATATAATAAACCACAAAATGGAAAAGAAAATGCTGATAAAAAATGAACAGAGCTAAAACAGAGACCAGCTCAGACTGCGTAAGCAGTAGTTTGGGGACCTGCTGCCCTCTGCTGGTTGATATCGGTTCTACATGATTTATGCAAAGTAAAGTTCCTGCAGTTTAACTGCATTAAAGCTCGAATCGGCAGCAGGATGAGCCTCATCAGCAGGAAAATGTAATCACCCTGAAACTGCAGGCTGGCTGTTACTATAGCAACTACAGTACTGCTGCTGATTATTTTGGCCTTGCAGTAATTCGCTTTAAGAAACATTAAAACATGTTTAAATAGTTAAACTTATTTTGCCGCCATCAGGTGAGCCTCGCAGTTTCTGAAGCTCTACAATGATTAAAACATCAGACAGTCCTTCAACCGGACAACGCCGATAGTCTGAAGGTAATGATCATGTTCATAAGTTAACCTCCACCTGTCTGGTTTATTACGACCGAGGATCAGACTCACCTGAAGGTCCCGCCCCCTGGGTCGGTTGGCTTCTTCTGATGGGCCGGAGCTGTCATTTGGAGAGGAGGTTTCCCCGCCATGGTGGACGGCCCTCGTAAGAACGTGGCTGGGCGAGGAAAGAATTCAGGGTGAGAGCAGATCACCAGTAACCAGCCCAGAGTTGGCCAAGCATCCAGCCTCACCTTGATGTCTGAGCGGCTGACTGAGGACCACAGGAGAGCGGCTCTGGATGGTCTGGACGGCGGATCTGCCCACAGCCTGGAGCAGAAACCAAATCATCATCATCGTTTCAGAACTCATCGCTGCAAGCAGCACCCAGAGAAAGCGACAGAACAGCAGAGCTTTGGATCAGCTGAGCGTACCACGGCTGCGTTGGTGACAGGCGGGCTCATGCGGACCGTGGTTCCCGTGACACCGACGGGAAGCCGCGGCCTGATGGTGGCTGCGGTGACGGAGCCGGGGGCGACCGGAGGCGGGGCTGAGGTGGTGGGCGGAGCCGTCGTCAGAGACTGCTGGCTGTTGAGGAGCGTCTGGCGCAGAGCAGGGAGGCTTTTCTGAGGACCAGAGGAAGCTGCTGGTGAGGATTTCATCAAAATATCTCCAGATAAAAGGTTTTCAAGTCAAATATGACCAATTTTAACCTCTAAATCTGTTTATACTGATAATCCCTGAATACATCGCCCTCCTCCATCACTAAACTCTACTGTTTGGGAACATTAAGGTCATTCAGCTGGAGTGGAGTCAAATACAGAGGACCATCTCTGCTCTTAACTGGATCATTACGTCAGAACAAATGTAAACATCCCTGCTAGTGGAAGAGAAGAAGAATAAAATGGAAAAATAAATAAAAATCAGCAGAAAGGAACCTCTGGATTCTCCAAACAGCTGCCGTGCTGCGTTCAAGTCTTCACTATAATACTTCTGGACTTTTTCTGGAGTCTGATGCTGAAGCTTTACTCCGACCTTAATGTGGACAAACATCAAAGACGAAGCAGCAAACGCTTCTTTGCTGCTCAAATTGCTTTTCGTGGGAACGTAGCATTAGAGCTAAATACAGACCTGAAAGATCATTAATATTCTTCTGATTTAGGGCTTTCCTATACAAATCGATTAATCTGTTGATTATTTTTGAATGAATCGATTAATAATCGGATAGCCAAAGGTTCCTTAAAGACTTTTTACGAAGTGTATATATATATATATATATATATATATAAAAATAAAAGAAAGGAGAAATTGTATATTATATCAAATCTGGATTAAAAAGTACCTGAGTTTAAAATCCTAAACTTTGATTTTCGTTGTGCCATTCCTCTCCAGTAAACAACACATCTACTAACATCTATAAACAAAAAGTTTGTGAAATTCTAAAAGAAACATAATAAAAGAGTCATTAAGCTAACAATGATTTCCTCTGACCAAATATGTTAAATAATTGCAGTTATAGCTATCAAAGAGTAATTTATTATCCATATTTGGATCTGATAACCATCTTTAGCCTTTATTAACTCTAGATAAAGTTAAATAACTGCGGATGTCTGTTAACTGACAATGAGAGCAGGACGGTACCTTGAGGAAGGGGATGAGGTAGGGCTGCGGGGAGGACTTCAGCTCATCCTGCAGACGAGACGTGAACTCCTCAGGTTCAATCTTCGCGTCCTAAACGCAGACAGATGTGTTAAAGTGTGAAGAAAAGAGTGGAACGGAGACAGATGTCCGTGCACGTGAACTTTTAAGATTTAACCTCTTACCAGCAGGTCCTGAACGAGGGCCTTCACATTCTTGGACGTCTCGGGGGACGGGGAGTTGTGGGACGCCAGCTTGATGAGGGTGGACAGGAAGTTCTTGCACTTCTTCACGTTTTCCTGCATCTCCTGCTGGGCACAAACACGTGTGAAAAACCTGGAGAATAACCCGGAACAAAGACAAGAACGTTGAAGGGGCCGACCTGTGACACCACGGTCACCCTGGCGCCGGGCGGCGCGGCGGGAGGGGGCGTCACGGCGCCGGCAACGGGCGCCTGCTTGGCTGCGGGCGTCACTCCCGCTGTGATCACCGTGGAGGCCTTCTGAGGCGCCGCCATCTTCACAGCTCCGGCAGGAGAGACTGAGAGGGGCTTCAAGAGACAGAAGAAGACGGTCAGAACCACCGCAGAGCTTTGAACCTTCAGACCCGATCTAAACAGACTCAGAACCTGTAGAATCAGTAGAATCTGTGACATTTGGTGCAGTTTAAACTCAGTATTGATCCAGATGTTCTCTTACAGGTTACAGAAGAGAAACTTAAAATCTTATCTCCATATTTCATGGTGCTATGAAGTAATAATAAAAGTGACAACAAAGAAACAAACACTTCATTAGTGTTTCTGCAATATTTCTAAGATAAATTCATCCCACAGCAATCATAAAAATCAGCCACATTTAAAACAGGCACTTCTTAGAACACCTATTAGATAAAGTCTGGTTGTTCTTACTGAACACCCCAAAGTAGCTGCGTTCATTGCATCCTTTGAATTTATCGAAAAGAAGAAGAATAGAAAATCCATCAATTCTCATTTATCATTTTGAGATTAAATCTAGTTTTTATCACAGTGAGAAATGTTTTACTACATCGATGAACCATACGATAAATACCAAGCCCTGGAAAGAAACCTGGGCCACTTCTCAACATGTGTACTAGTGCGTTCTCATGTATTCGTGAAACGTCATCACCCTCAGCCCTGGTACTGTTCCAGTTCACAAGAAGAAGAAAATCGAGAACGGACAAAGTCCCTGGATGTTGTTCTCTCCCCTCCCTCTTTACCCAGCATGCATCAGAGCAGACGTGTCCGTTCTTAAGATTGATAGCTGTCCCAGCATGCACTGCGGTAGCTTCCAGTGGAGCGCTCACTGAGCTCAGAGTAAAGGGCAGATTAAACTTCAGCATCCGCAGACATCAAATGTCGCTTGGGTCTGGTCGCTTCTGCACCATCGGGTCTGGAATTTCTAGGGACGCACAGCAGTTTCTCGCCAAAGCGCAACGGGGAGCCTATTTGAGAACTTGTGAGAACTTCGGCGGATGGTCACGAGAACTTCGGCAGCGCCGGCAGGAGTGTTTATCTTCCAAAGATGGATCTATAGTTGCTAGACATCGAAGAGGTTAACAGGTTCTGTTACTGGAGTTGGCAAAAAGACCGACTAACCTTTCGTCGTAGTCGTCCATTGTGGTTGTTCTTTGGCTTTTAAAATTGGCGCGCCCCGGCACCGAATCGAGAAGCAAGACCACACAGACAGCTGGAAAGGCGTACCAAGGACCAATCACAGCTGCTTTTTGTCTGCCCGCTTCCACTTGAGATCTGCGCGGGTTTGTGACCGTCCGAAACGATTTTTTTGAGGTGAGCGACAACTTTTGCAGAACTTCAGTTCTTTTTTTTTTGCGGTTTTTATGGCACTAATGGTTTGTTTTTCTGACAATAGCCTAACAGGAAAGGGGGTATGAGAGACGGGAAGAGGCAAGCGGGCCGGCTTCGAACCCGGGTCGCCCACGCCGAGGACGTTTATGGGTCATGTGTGCTAAACACTGCGCCGCCTGCACGCCCCGTTCAGATTTGACGGTTCCAGAGGCTACGAGTCAGAAGCATAAATCGGCCTTAACTCATCTGCCTTCCTGAGGCGTCTGTTTTTATGTCGGACTGTCCGACCCGGAGCTGCGGCCTGTTCTGTTGTCACAGCAGGAGGACTTACCTGTACAGAGGTGGTGGTGGGAGACTGGACTATTCTGGTCGGAGCGGGTGAAGCCAGGCGGACTGTCTGGGGGGCCCCGGGTGCCTGCAGACCACACAGACGGATGACGGTGATGATTTTCAGTCCAATTCTGATGGAATCACTCAAAAGCCTAAACAACACTGCTCTGATGGTACCAAACTCACCGTGGTGGCGGTGCTGACCCGGATGGTGGGTGTTGCCAGCGGTGCCGTGGGTCTCTGGGTGACCACTGTCTGACCCTGCTGGAGCTTGGCCTGAGCCTGGGCCAGAGCCTGCTGGGGAACCAGAACCAGCTGACCCGTCTCAGTCCGGACCAGAACCATACCTGCAGGGGAGGATCACAAAGTAGCGTCATCCTGAGGCGGTGATCCCAGAAAAGGATCCAACTGATCTACAGAACCGACTGGAGCAAACTGAACAACCATCAGGATGAACCCGAATTGATCAGAACCGTTTAGGGCTAAAAGTTATGGAATAAGGAACAACAGGGATGTTTACAGTTAGAGAGAAAATGAAGGAATTCAATCATTTCTGTCTGCAGAACAGAAGCTCTTCCCTCTGATGAAGCACAGACAGATCAGATTTAAGGTTATTAGAGAGGAACCGACCCCTGCAGTCCAGTTCTCTAATCATATGAGGTAGTATCATGGTATGGGATGGTATCAGTTCCCCTAAAGACGTTCATTTCCACTTCTAAGGAAGCAGCGTTAAAGCAGAAGGATCCAGCATCTATTTCAGCGGCTCTAAGATCACATCTAAGGCAGGAAGGCCCACATGTTCTGCAAGGAGATACAGTGACCAGATCTTTTATCTTCTTCTGAGAAGAACCGGATCTAGTTTTAAAGTTCTTGGGGAGGAACTAACGGGTTCAAAGCAGAGAGGGAGCTGCTCCATCCAGCATCCACGCAGCGGCAGCTCAGAACGTTCCTGAATCTCCTTCAACGAGCCCGAGAGCAAAAATGGCTGGATTTAAAGGAAGTAGCAAGATGACACTGAATCTGGCCTCAGTTTATGATAAAGAGCCATTAAACCGAATAAATTAGCATGAAACAAATATTTAAAACTGCACCATAAAATCTCAGAATTTCCAATAAAAACACCTTTAAAAAAAAGGGACACTGACGCATCCTGGCAAAGCCCAAGAAATCTCTATTCTAGATTAGAAATCTCTAATCTGTCTATACCTACTTTTATTCTTTATTTTATAGTGTGGCTGTTAGAAAAGGCTTGATCCAGTGATATTAATCAAACAAGTTTATCGGAGCCATCAGTTTGTGGAAGCTCAAACAATTAACAGCAACGACAATTAACTGGAAATCTGGAGCTTTTAGAGGATCTGGACGAAGTGAACCGGACCTCTGTTCCCCACGTTAGCACAAAACAATCCGAATAAAAAGGATGTAAAACAGAAAGACAAAAGGAGAGCAAAGAAATAAAGAAAACAAAAACCGTAAAAAATAAATCCAGATGGCGGCTGATCCGATGACCCAAACCTGAGCCGTTACTAGGGGCGTCAATCACACCCATCATTCGATTCAGCATCAATTTCCTGACCCAACGATTGGATTATTTTCGATATTACAGAATACACCACGATACGATTCGATTAATTGGTTTGTTTCTTTTACCTTACAGGCTAGACCAGGTTTCCAATTTTTAATAAATCGATGAAAGCTGTAATATCGTTATGCATTTTATTTGAGAAAAAGCAGCAAATAACAGAAGTAGCAAAGCTGTACTTCACCTAGGCCGCTAAAAAACCGAATTCACTGAAAAATAACAATGCCTCTGTGTTTACCAGGGGTGTCAAAAGAACAAACATTTGTTACTTAAGTAGAAGTATAGATACTGCAGTTTAAAAACACTATGGTAAAACTTAAAGTATCAACTTGACTTTTTTACTCAAGTAAAAGTGAAAAAGTATGTGCTCCAAAAACTACTTAAAGTATAAAAGTATAAAGTAACCTTTTAAAAAAACAGCCAGATGCCACT